TATTCTGGGTTTGTTTGTTTGTTTTGTTTTTTGGTACTGGGGATCAAACTCATGACCTCACACTTTCCAGGCAGGTGCTGATGCCACTGAGCTAAGTCACCCGCTCCAAAAACTTGTATTCTTATTGGAAACAACCTAAATGTCCATTGACTGAAGAATGGATTAAAAAGATGTGATACTTTTATACAATGGAGTACTACTCTCCCATAAAGAAGGATAAACTTTTATAGGTAAATGGGTACAACTTGAGACCATACTCATAAGTGAAATAGAGACACGCATGTAAACAACATGTTGTCTCACTAGTGTGAGAATTAGAAAGAACATTATGTACATGTGTATATACATAGGTAGATAAAAAGATAGTTAAGATAGCTGTACTACTGATTTCTCTGATGTCATTGAAGAGAAAGATTTTTGCTGGCACTATTTGGACAACTGAATGCAGATGTCTTGTGCTCTTGGTGAATGATTTGGGGATGACAGTGCACAATGTATGTAACATTGTTGCCCCTGATTGATATATTTTGAAATTTTGTCTTTTTTTTTTGTGCCAAGGATCAAACTCAGGACCTTGCACTTGCTAGGCAGGCACTTATGCTGCTGAGCTATATCCCTACCCTTGTTTTAAAATTTGCTTTCTTTTTTTTCCTCTTTGAAATAAAATGGATTTGAAAAAAAGGAAACGTATTCTAATAGGATAGAAAATCTCGAAGAAATGGACAGATTCCTAGATACATATGAATTATCAAGTCTGAATCAAGAAGATATAAACATCCTCTATAACCCAATATCAATCAATGAAATCAAAGGTGTAATTAAAAACCTGTCAATAAAGAAAAGCCCAGGCTCTGACAGATTCAGTGCTGAATTCTTTTTTTTTTTTTTTTTTTTTTTGTCTTTTTCCTTTTTATCGGTACCGGGGATTAAACTCACAACTGCCTGCTTACAAGGTAGGCACTTATGCCGCTGAGCTAAATCCTCAGCCCCTAGTGCTGAATTCTACAAGAAATTTAGAAAAGACCCGACACCACTAATTCTCAAACTCTTTAATGAAATTGAAAAGGAAGCAATACTCCCAAATTTATTCTTGGAAGCGAGCATTACCCTGATACCAAAACCAGAGAAGCTTTTGCACAGACAGAGAAAACAACAGAATGAAGAGACAACCCACAATGTGGAAGAAAATGTTTGCCAGCTGTTACTCAGACAAAGGATTACTATCAAGAACATATGGAGAACTAAAAAAAAAAAAATCAATCCTCCCAGATTTAAAAACCCAATCCAAAACCAGGCATCTGAGATGAATGTACACCTCACAGATGAAGAAATACAGACAGCAAATAAATATGTGAAAAAATGTGTAACAGCACTGGTCATTTGAGAGAGGCAAATTAAAACAACACTGAGATTCCATCTCATCCCAGAAAGAATGGCTAGTATCAAGAAATCAATAACAAATGCTGGAGGGGCTGTGGGGAAAAAGGAACACTTCTCCACTGTTGATAGGAATGCAGACTGGTGCAACCATGGTGGAAATCAGTGTGGAGATTCCTCAAAAAAACTAGGACTAGAAGCCAGCACATGCCTGTGATCCCAGCACTCAGGAAGCTGAGACAGGAGGATCGTTGCAAGTTTGAGACCAGCCTGGGCTACAAAGTGAGCTCAAGGCCAGCCTGAACTGCAGAGTGAGACTGTCTCAAAAAGACAAAAAAAAAAAAAAAAAAAAAAAAAAAAACCCTAAGACTAGAGGTTCCATGGACTCTGCTATTCCTCTTCTGGGTATCTTCCCAAAATAATTAAAAAATACCACACCACAGCAATATATGTGCACCCATGTTTATAGCAGCCCAATTCCATCATCTGAGGAATGGATAAAAAAAGACGTGGTATTTTTATGTAATGAAGTACTACTCAGCCATCCAGAAGAATAAAGAGGAGACTTTTATAGGTAAATGGATGCAATTTGAGGTCATACTCATAAGTGAAATAAATCTGACACATATGTCTAAACATTGTGTTGTCTCACTAGTGTGAGAAGCTAAAACAACATATGTATATATGTGTGTGTGTGTATATATATATATATATATATATATATATATATATATAGTGAAGATAGGTAAAAAAATAAAACCCACACCATGTGGATGATGCCAAGGTCTGCCTCCAACTGAAGCAGTAGCCAGGCTTTCCTCTCTCTTGGCCATAAGGGTTGAGTACCTGAATCGCTGGGCACTCAACCTGATTCTGAGGAACAGATTCTCTAGACTGTCACTGTTCTGGAACTTGAGGCTCTGCAGCTTTCTCCTCAAAGCAAGGGCTTCCACTTTGCAGTTTTGAGGGCTGCAAAGGGTAGCGACTTGCTGCTGCTTGTGATGCCCTCAGACACCTTTTCTGTTCTCCTGTTCTTTCTCAGCAATCAAAATCTCAGCTCTATCCTTGCTGTCCACAGCTTTATGACACTTCCTTTCTGGCCAAACTCACATTTTAAATCATCCTGCTGGGCTCTTTGCTCTTGATTTGTAACATAAATCTAGCAAAAAGCCCCCAACAATAGCCATGCACTGCCTCAACATTTGACTGCCTTGAAATTTCTTCTGCCAGATTAATCAGTCCATCACCCTTAATCTAAGTCTCAGGCAAAATCTCTGGAGAGCAGCCAAATACTGACAAACTTTTTGCCAAGCCATAACACACATCATCTGAGCTCCAATAACTAATGCAATCTTTCTTCCCAGCAGAAATCTCCTTGACCTGGTCTTTATCTACAGGCTTTCTATCAGCCCTCTGATCTTCTGAGTCTGACCAGAAACTCCCAGGCAGAATAGCCTAAGGTATTCCAGCTCTACTCCTTCAGGAAACACCTCCAAACATTTCCAAATTCTTCCCACAAGCCATTCCCAAAGGCTCTAGAATCACATGGTCTGATAGAGTCGTAGCATCAACCCACTTCTCTGGCACCAAAAATTCTGTCTTGCTTACTTTTCCCTCATTGTTTTTGCTGAAACAAAACACTCAACACCCAAAATTCTGGATGGAAAGGTTTATTTAACTTATAGTTTGTGGGAATTTCAGTTCCTAATCAGCTGGCACCAAGGCAGGGTGGCATATGACAGAGGGGCAACAGTTCCTGGCAGTGGAAAACTCTTTCTATCCCTTATATTGTATGGAAGTAATCAGCCTAGGGTGGGTGCAGCACTTATACCCACAATCCCAACATTGGACTATGAATCAATCACAAATTACAGAAGCCCACCCCATGCCTGCATGAGTCTTTGCGGGGACATCTGGACACAAACCATAACACCTGAGCACTGGCTTGGCTGTGCTGCTTAGGTAGCAGCCACATGCCTGTGTGGGTGAGGGCAGGAGAGGAACCAGGGGATTCTCTGGCAGCCTTGCTGTGAAGCCTGGGTACATAAGTGAGTCCAGATCCCTTCCTGACCTTAGCCACACCAGGGTGCCCCCTCGCCCTCATCAAAAAGGTGACAGCAGCATCTGGGGTGGGGGAGGAACCCCACAGTGTGGCTCTCTCATGTTGGAGGGAGGAGTGGCAGCTCGACAGCAGGGAGGATAATGAAGAAAAGTGTCCCAGCCCGATGGAGGGGGAAGGAGGAGTAAAGGGAGACCAGAGGGAAGGGGCACTACAGCCACATCACCCTTCTGGCCAATGTGGGAAGCGTGAGAGTCAGTCACTTCCTGTCTGTCCCATCAGGGCCACTTGAATGTGGTGGCCAGAAGTCCAAGTCTCATTCCCAGGAGCACTGGCAAGCTGGGAGGTAGGACATGAGACATAAAGAAAGGTAGAGAGGAGATAAGGAAATTCAAAACTTGCAAATTGTATCTTTAAGGGGAAAAAAAACTGCACCTTCAAGACACAAAGTTACCCAAAGTTACAATGCCATTTTCCCTTCCAGGAAACTTCAAAAAAAATGTCTAAGGGTCTTAAACATACAATAAGCTTGTAAAAACTGAGCCTGCCTTCTTCCTGCCACAGACCTCCATCCTCCAGGAAGCACCTGATCTCAGGCATCTGTCTCAGAGACACGGAAATGGTCTGCTGTCTAACCTGGCCCATGAAATGGGTATCCTGACAGACAGTGGAAACACACATACTAGATCAGCCTTCTTAAGAACACCCCCAGGACCAACTAAAAGCCCCTGTCGCAGATCACAAATGTACCCTTCTGGAGGACCCACATTTTATGTTGAGTGTATATTTCAAAAATTCTGCCTAATAAATCTTTTTTTAAAAACAAGGTCTTACTATGTATTTCTTTAATATGGCCTTGAATTCATTATTAGCCCAGGCTGGCCTTGAACTTGTGGTGACCCTCATGCCTCAGCCTCCTAAATGCTGGGATTACAGTGTGCACCATCACACCTGGCCCTAATAAACTTTTCTAATGCATCTCAGTGATTGTCTGGTAATTATTTGTTGTGACATAAGACAGTGACCCTACAACCTGCCCTGCAGCTGGGGTGAGTTGAGGTCCCTCACCTCAGGGACCTCCCAGGACCTTGTCTGGTGACAGGTCCACTCCAGACTCAAGGCCCTAGAGCACACTCATCTCCTTGTGTAAAGCAGCTTCTTCCCTGAGCCTGCAAGCATCCAATTTCCCATCTGAAAAACACAACCTCTATTTTTTTCTTTCGTATTTTAATAAACTGTGAAGAAGCTGGAGCTGTTAAATTTATCTTGGGGAAACCACAGAACCTAGTTTATTTGGCCTAATAGAGCCTTTTATTGCTTTCAATAGAGGCTTATTAACTGTTTCGTATATTTGTTTTCAGTTTTCAATTCAACATGCACTTTAATTAGAGCTATTAAAGTATCTTAGTTGAAAAAAAAAAAACTGAAATGCTCCAGCATCTCCAGTAGGTTTAGCCTCCGCCATGACGAAATAGGGACTACAACTCCCAGCATGCCGCGGGCACCGCCTGGCTTTCCTATGTCCCCGCCACAAGGTTCGAACTACAACTCCTAGCATGCCTCGGGCCCCCGAACTGTGTCCTAGGTCAGGGAAGCCTGGAAGCAGGGACCTAAGGCTCCGAGTGGGCACCTGCTGGCAGGGGAAGGGTTAGCCGCTCTCAGCGGAGCGGGAAGACCAGCGCTGCCTCCGCCATGCTCCGTACACTGGCCCGGGCCGCGACTGTAGGGCTCGGGGCGACCTGGACGCGGTGGTCCGGGAGCCGGGCGGGGGTCCTGGCCCACGTGGTGGACCTGCGCAGCGACACAGTGACCACGCCCAGGCCGGCCATGAGGCGCGCCATGGCCGAGGCAGTCGTGGGGGACGATGACTACGGCGAGGACCCGACGGTCCGCGGTGAGCGGCCGCGCAGGCCCTAGGCAGGGGTCACGCAGGCGACCCGGGACGCTGTCCGTGGTGCTGGCGAGAGGGTGACGGGGTGGGGTTGGGGAGGCGTGTGTGGCGCAGCTGGCCCTGAAGGGGCTCCGTCGCAGGCCAGGCTTTGCCTCCTCTTCCATCTGGCCCACCGCCCAAACCCTGTCAGAAACGCAGGCACCCGGCCACTCCCACTAGAGCGTAAATAAATCAGCGCCGAGGCGGTGCTCGGGTTGACAGCAGTCTGTGGAGGGTGCTTTGGGGACCAGAGGGTAGGGCTGTCTGCTCATGGCTCACAGGGAGGGGCGCCCTCCGTGAAGAGCCCGCCCAAAGGCATGGGAAGCTCCAGGGTACAGGTGGAGAATGTGGCTGCAGTGTGGAGGGGGCATCGCTGTCACCAACGGGGTGGGGGTGGACAGATGCCAGGTCACACCGGCCTTGAGTGTCACCCCAAGAATGCTGGGTTTGATGCCACAGTCGGAGAGGGGGACCACCGCAGGCTTTAAAGCGGGAGCCCCACTTGTCCTCCAGCTGCACTCTGCTGTGCCCCATGTGCCTCCCAATGCTTCCCTTCCGACCCAGAGAGGAAGTCAGCAGCAAAACCACAGGGCCCCACCTGGCAGGACTGATGGGAAAGGAAGTGTCCCAGCTGGGTGTCTCGGGATGGGGGGTTCAAACCACAAGAAAGTTTTGGGGACCTGGTGTGGGGAGGACCATGATGCAGGAAGAGGCAGGCTGCAGAGGGTTGACTTGAGGGACCTTTGGACCCACATATGTGGTTGCTGACCGGCTTTGCAGCTGGCAGACTGGGGCCCAGCCCTGCTCATGAGCCACTTGCCACAGCCTTGGCCAGGGCATTCTAAGGACGCGCTGTGAGCGGTGCCCCAGTGTGGCCAGCCTGCAGCCTCTCTGCCTGCAGTCGTTGATGCCGCCTTCCCTGGCCCACCCCACTACCTCCCCCAGAGCTACAGGAGAAGACTGCAGAGCTGCTTGGGGTGGAACAGACTCTGTTTGTGCCCACCAACACTATGGCCAACCTCATTGCTGGTGAGTTTGCCTCCCGGATCCTATGTGCACCCTGTACACCTCCGTGCCCATTCTGGAGCGGCATTTCTGGATTTCTGTTCGGTCTGCCTGCTTGCCACCTGGCAGGAGGTGGGGAGGGTTTGAGGTCAGCAGGTTTCTGCGGCTCCCCAGCTCTTCCTCCCTAGGGTGCCCTCAGCACACAGCCCTGGCGCCCCATTCCTGTAAGTGCAGCGTCTCTCCCCTTCAGGCCTTCCGGTGGCTTCTTTCTTCCTGCCTCACCTTGTGTAGCAGCATCACTGTTTCTCAGGGTGCCCTGGGCCGCCTGTCCCCAAGGACTGGCACCGAGCCTGGCATCTTCCTGCACGTGCTGATCTGCAAATGGGCCACAGGCTAGGTACAAGTCATGTGCGGCCTGTTGTTTACAGTGTGGCCAGCCCACAGTTGTGTATTTAAGGTGATGGGTTTCCAGCCTGTGCTAAGATGTCTTAAAGGAGCAGTTTCCCCCTGAGTGTGAGAGACTGGTGAGCTTGCTGTGACCCTGCAGCTCGCCCTAGCCACGACGAGCAGGGCAGATGGGCCCGCAGAATCAATGCCAAGTTCTCCCCTCCTCCCGTCTGTCTCAGTGATGGGTCACTGCCGGCGCCGGGGCTCCCAGGTCCTCCTCGGGCAGGAGTGCCACCTCCAGGTCTATGAGCAGGGCGGGTTGGCCCAGGTAAGGACCAGGTACTGTTCCCCTGGGGCCCTGGACAACCTCTAGCCAGTGCAGGGTGCTCAAGTGGAAACCTGCTTCCCAGGTGCCAACTAGGCCTCGCAGAGGGGTGAAAAAGGCACACAGAAGCTGCTCAGGGAGGAGAGAGGGGCAGCGGCTCTCAGATTTACCACTTGGGGGCAGCAGTGGCCCAGCCTGGCCCCAGGGACACTGGGCTGTTGTTTCTGCCCAGGGCTTGGTATCTTTGGCCCCTGCTACCCCCTAGTGGGTACTCGGAACACTGGCACTGGGGATGAGGAGCTGGAAGACTGCCTGACAAGTATCCACAGAAAAGGGGCCCTTAGCTAGGACATCACATCCAGAGGCACAGAGAAAGGGCCAAGACCCAAGCTGGGGCGAAGCGGGTACAGTCTCGGAGGTCTCTGCCGCAGGACCCCTGGGCCTACCTGACCCCTACCATTCCCCAACCCTCAGCTTGCTGGGGTGCTCTCCCACCCACTCCCAGACCTGCCGCACGGCATGCTGGACCTGGCTGAGCTGGAGAGGGTGCTTGCTCGGGGCCATGGGAGCCCCTACCACCCTGTCTGTGAGCTTGTATGCATGGAGAACACACACAGCAGCTCGGGAGGCCGGGTCCTGCCCATTGACTACCTCCGCCAGGTAGGCCTGCTACCCCCACCCGCCCACAGCTGCCCTCTGAGCCCCACCTAAGACAGCTAGCTGCTCTGTGTCACGTCCTCTGTCACCTGTCACCATCACAGAGGGACACGTGCCAGCTTGAGGCTGAAGATGTAGAGGGAATAACTGCTCCAGTTTAGGACCCCTAGTCCCTAGACTCACCAAGAGCAGAGGTGTCACATGTGCTCTCACAGCCTGCTGAGAGTCACCAAGAGCATGACCACAGCACCACGGCCCTGGTGAGGCTGTGAGACACTGCAGGTTCTGGTCCTTTGCTCAGCCTATGAGGCGAGGGGGCTGCAGGGTCAGAGATCTGCTGCTTCCATGTGAGCACGCTCAGCTGCCTACTAACCAACCTCGTGCTTCTGCCTCAGTGGGGACCCTGGAGACCCCTTATAACATGTCATGTGGGTTACCAGAGGTGAGACGTTGATGCCCTCCACCTGGGTCAGAATGTGTGATAGAGAAGAGTCGTGGCTGAGGCCATAGCACTGCAAGAGCACTGGCCTAGCACGTGCGAAGCCTTGGGCTCCACCTTGGCACCATGTGCCTGTGGGTACATCCATCCACCCCGAGGAGCTGACATGTTTGCCATCAGTCCCTTCTAGGGAGGACAGCACCACAGCTCAGGCCACAACACAGGACTGCTCAGGTTCCGCATACCCATAGCTGACTACCAAAGCAGGCTCCTGACTCCAGACCCCTGATGATTCCTCCTGCAGCCACACTCAGGAGCCTCTCGAGCCCATCCTCCCTGGGCCTGGCCTCGCTGACCCCTGCCTGCTCTTCACCCCAGGTGCACCTCCTGGCCAGGACCTACGGGGCCCGCGTCCACCTGGATGGGGCCCGGCTGATGAATGCAGCAGTGGCTCTGCACATGCCCCCTGCCCGCATTGTGGAGCACTGTGACTCTGTGTCTTTCTGTTTCTCCAAGGTAGGGACACCCTGGACACCCTGGGAGGCAGAGTTGGGTCTCTGGGCTCCAGGTGCCACTGCAGCTGCCCCTCCCCAGCCCAATGCTATGAATGGGGCAGCAAGAGTTTCTCCTCTTCCCCAGGGCTTGGGTGCACCACTGGGTGCCCTAATAGGAGGCCCCAAGGACTTCATTGAAGAAGCCTGGCGCTTCCGGAAAGCCCTGGGCGGGGGCATGCACCAGTCTGGGGTGCTGGCTGCCGCAGCCCTGGTGGGCCTTGCTGACGCCAAGGAGATACTGCTGCAGGACCATGGGAATGCGCAGAGATTCGCCAAAGGTGCCGCCCTGCCCTCGCCCTTACTTCCCTTTGCCCCTGGACTTGCACCTGGTGGTGTGGGGGATTCCTTCACAACAGGGCCCAGATCCCCACAAGTCCATAGCCCTGAAGGGTGTTGAAGCCTTAGGGTGTTGGCTTAGCACCGAGTCTGCAGGTCTGCCTCCCAGACCCCATCCATGCAGCGTCTGATACCAGCACACACTCCTTGGAGTCAGGACCCAGGGCCTCTGCAGACCCAGCAGAGTGTGGAGCCTGAATGTGCATCTTTCACCCCATAGTTGAATCCTCACAACAATCTCATAATGTCCCCACTTCACTGACGAGAAATCAGAGCTAAATTAGCCATCAAATCTGTGCGACCCCACAGGCCATGTCAGAATTCAGGGCCATTCTTTTCTCTTGTACTGCTGGGCTGCTCTTTGCTTTCCCCAAGTGACAGTTCCAGGCAGCAGGGGCCAAAGTGGGGTGCTGGGGTCGCCTGTGGGGTCTGCTCACTGCAGGACCTGGTCTAGGTCTCCGAGACCTGGCGTCGCCCATCTGCTTTGTGGATCCTGCCACTGTGGAGACCAACATGGTGCTAGTGCGGGTGGATGGGCCGTCACCCACGGAGCTGTGCCAGCGCCTGCAGACTGTGAGCCCCGAGGAGGTGGCACAGACTGGTCATGCTGTGCGTGTGCTGCTGTTTCCCTGGACAGAACGGTCAGTGCGTGCCGTGTGGCACCGTGGCGTCTCCACCGAGGACACTGACCTCGCCCTGAGGAAGTGGGAATTTGTGCTGAGGCAGCTGGAGCTCTGAGCAAGGCCCGTGTCCTGGCTGGGACCAAAACGGAGAGAGGTGTGGCACAGTAGCCTGCCAGAAGTAAAGGTCAACCTCTGGGGGAGGTGACTCCGTCCAAGCCCCAGGTTTCTCTGCCATGATTCCTGGGTGACATCCCCACTTGGTCGGAAATAACCAGGCATAGGGTCAGATAAGATGCAACCAAAAATCAAGGCAAAATACCAAACAGACTTGTAGGTGATGAGGATAATGCAGTTATGAGATATAGGACTTAAAGTAAAATATTTAAGGAATTTCAAGGCAAGTTAAAAATTTAACAGAACTTGAAACTGTAAAATGACTCCATGGAAATTTTAGAAACAAAATCATAATAAATTAAGACCTCAGTGGATGGGCCTGATAGCAGGTGAGACACAGCTGAAGAGACAATTAGTGATGTGGGCAGCAAGTCAGGAGAAGATATATCTCGATAAACAGACCCAAAGTTGGTATTTCGAAGGGAGTAACCAAATTGATGATAACTTCCTGGTAGACTGATCAAAAATCAGACAGGGAGCACAGATCATTGTTTAGTGTATGTATTTGTTTTTTGTTTTGAGGCAGAGTCTCAAGATGTAGTTCAGGCTGGTCTTGAACTCATCGGGATCCTCCTGCCTCAGCCTCCCAAGTATTAGGATTACAGGCATGTGCTACCATGCCCAGCTTGTCTTATGGATTGTTTTTAATGGTAGAAAAAGAATAAAAATTACTTGTATTTTTATCATCCTGGAATAATCACCATTAATGTCTGTGTATATTTCATTCTGGACATGTATGTAGATAAATGAATCTGTGTGTGTGTGTGTGTGTGTGTGTGTGTGTGTGTGTGTTTAGAAGGGAGGTCCATGTTAGCTTTCTATCACCATAACAATTACAGGAGATAAATTACAAAGTAAGTTCACTGTGGCTTTAAGTTGTGGAGGTCTTAGCCCATGACCATTCAGCTCTGTTGCTTTGGGCCCAGGCACAGACCTTTGGGGGACACCTAAGATTCAAACTACAGCAGTGTCACCTCAGTGCCTAGCAAGCCTCTCATGGGAATCCAGGAGCCTGGCTTTCTCCGGAATAGCAGCTTCAGCTTAGGAGTACCATGTCGAGACCCTAAATGGAGGTGCCCAGGCAGCTGCAGGAAGTGCTCGCATGTTGCTCCAGAGACTGCTAGAGGCACGGGAGTGGGAGACAGCTGCGTGGTGACGTCTTGGGCTACGGTGAGTGCAGCAGGAGAAAATCAGGGCACTGCAGCAGGGGACCCTCCCACTGTCCTAGTGCTCCAGGGAAGAACCCAGATCTGCACTCTGGAGACCCAGGAACTGGGGGCTCCCCAGGCCTCCCAAACTGCTCTCCTGTGCTCGAGGGGCTGATAAGTCAGGGATCAAAAGAAGGCCAGCACCTCTTCACCTGCCACTCACCTCTCCTGTGCTGCTGTATCTGGAACACACACGGACAGACAGGCATGGGGTTGCTTACCCACTGCTGGGTAACAGGTTCTCCCAAGCAGCAGCCTCTTAGCACAATAATCATTGTTAGTTCTCGTAGTTTCTGTGGGCTCAGGGCTAAGGAATGGCTCAGCTGAGTCCTGGCTGCAGACCAGCTAGTTCACGCCATGTCTTCCACAGTGCCACCCTCATCCCCAGCTGGCCTGTGGGGCTGGCTGCAGGTAGAGGCCTTGATGGCTGTCTCTGTGGGCAAGATCACTGCCCCCCACTCCCAGGCCAGCAACAGAGAGACTGAGGAAGGAGCTGCCAGGACACCCAGGCCAGCCCAGACTCAGTGCGGCAGATGCCCAGAGGACGGCAGGGGAGAGGCCCTAAACCAGTCCCCTTAAGCTAGGAGGGCCAGGGCCTGCCGCCCCTGCTGGCCTGGGAATAAGAAGCAGGCATGCACCTGCAGATGGCATCACTGGGTGCACACGGACACCTGTGTGCCTGACCCCTGCGAGGGGTCATGCAGCTGGTGACCCTTTCCCTGGTAGAGTTTGTGAAGCATTGGCATGTGCTACCTATTCTGAAAAATCCTAAGAGAAAAACAATGGGCTTGTACTGTACCTGGCACAAGCAGATTTATGCAAGGGCGCACTGCACAGAGTTCCTGTGTGGGGTCGGAGATGGAGCTCAGCAGCATGGCACCTGCCTGGCAAGCCTGAGGTCCTGAGTTCAATTCCTGGTGCCCAAAGCAAAACAAAACAGAAATGATCCTGCATGGAGTGGCAAACACGTGCAGGAAGGGGAGCACCTCTCATCCCCAGCTCTGTCCTCCATGGGCCCTACCAAAATTGTGCCACCTCTCCCCGTGTCCCCAGAAGCTTCATGCGACCAATAAAGGAAGATGGGGAAGAGCCTCACGGGGTGCACCCTCCCCAGCATACGGCTCTGAGTTCAGGAACACTCCACACCTGAAACGGGGCTGTCTGGGCTGACAGGCACTACACAGCCCCTGGGTCCCCTTTCCCCGTCCTACAGCCACTGATAGAATTGACAAAAATGAGTCTCCCCAACCTAAAGGGGAAGAGACAACGCAGCAAGCCCAACCTGTCCACACAGGTCTCACTCTTGGACCAGCCAAGGGCTGGGCTTCTGTCTTCTGCCCAGGAAGTCTGCAGCTGAGTCTGGGAGGCAGTGGTGCATGCCTGTATCCCAAACATTCAGAAGGTTGAGGCAGGAGGGCTGTGAACTCAAAGCCAGCCTAGGCTACACAATTAGTTCATGACCAACCTGAGCTCTACCTCAAAAAAAAAAAAAAAAAAAATGTCTGCCATCAAAATTCTAGGCCCAGCCTGGCCCTTGCAGCCTCAGCTCAGGCTAAGTCCTTTTCTAGGCCACCTCCAGCAGATGAGGCATGGCCCCAAACACTCTCCTCGGGATGCCCACATCTGCCAGCTGAGGTTGCCCAGATACCCAGAGGAAGCAGCTATGGGGCCAGCAGGAACATGACCACCCCAGATCAAGGACAGATAGAGCCCAGAAGCAGCAAGGAGAGGGACTCACCTGCCTGCAAACCAGCAAGGCCTCTCTGTACCTACAAACAAGGGGCCTGGACCCAGTTCTCACCCTTTGCCACCAACCCTGCCACAGGGAGTGGAAGGACAAAGGCCTGGGGGGGGACCATCTGCAGGGTGCCTGGGTACCGTCTGGGCCTCAGCCTCCCCTCAGTGACGGGCTGAGTGGTAACCACGTGCAGGGCTGTGGGGCTAGAAAACAGGAAGCTCAGGGAGCCCTAGCCCTCTCCCAGGACAGTCCCAGGTGCCTAGGAAAGGGGCACAGCAGGACTGATAAGGGCAGCGCAGCCACACCCCCAAGAGGCCAGGGCACCTCTGAGCGCCAGGAACCAGAAACAGCTCACAGAGCGCAGCCCAAAATCCAGTGATTTCCTTTATTTCTAAGAGGAAGTGAGCCAGGGAGTTGCTGAGCGCTCACATGGGCTGTTCTGCACCCTACCCCAGGCTCCAGCATGACCAGTGACCCCTGGGCATATGGGAGGGGACCCAGCAGCCCCCTACCCTGCTACCCCTGGGACTCAGAAGACCACAGAGCCAGGGTGCCAGGCTCAGGCTGAGAGGGTAGGTGATGGTGCACAGGAGAGGAGCCAGGCCAGGGCAGAAGCACAGCTGAAGGGGATCACGTGCCCTGCATGTGCTGTACACTACTGGCGGGACCTCCCCAAGAAGGCCAGGTGTGAGTAGCTGGCATAGGTACTGACCGCTGCCAGGGCAGGGCACCTGGGGAGAGGGGACAGGGGAGCCACTCCCAGGGGTCCTGAAGACAGAGCCTTGGGGACCCATGCATTCAGGGCCTCACAGGCACCTCTGCACCTGTGCCCTCTCCTGGTCCACACTGATGAGCCTCACTCTGGTCCCTCCGGTCCCCTCCTTGTCCCTGAGGTCAGGAAGGCAGGAGGGGCTCACACTAAGGTGGTGAACTCTGAGGTTTGGGGGCTCACCCCACAGCCCCCATTGCAAACAGATCCACTTGTGCTCCCACCACACAGTTGGGCAGCAATGGACTGAATTTGGGGAATGACGTGAAGCCAAACAGGATGGGGAGATGAGGTGCAGAGGCAGGTGGCACAGCCTCACCTGAGGTCAGGGCTGCTCCTCTCCAAACTCCAGTTGCCTCCCATCACCTGAGCAGTAAGGTACAGAATACACCCCTAAGCTGGGAGCCCCTTTCACCCCCCCAACTCTTCTGGAGGACGAGGAACCAAGCGATGCTCGCAGCAACCTCTCTCCCACCCCAGACCTCCTGAATTCCATCTCCGGGCTGCCTCTCAGTCTGCTGGACACGTACAGTGCACTGTATCCTGCAGGCCTGTTGTCCTCCACAGTCCTGTCTCAGGGAAGGGACCCCTTGACTCCCTACCCCTTCCTACAGCACTAATGAGAGGGTGAATTGGGCTCAGGAGCGTCCCTCTGGGGGGACCTTCCTGCCTCTGAGCCCTCTGCTCTGCTCCTCACAGCAGACCCCCACCAGGGCCTGCGACTGGGTCCTGAGACAGATGTGCACCCCACTTAGACCTTGAGCAAGGGGGTCTCAAGCCAGCTGAGCTCAGGTCCTTGCCCCTCTTGAGTTCCCGACTGCCAGTGGCACCAGTGCCCTCCAGTCCCTCTGCCCGCACTGGCACCTTCTACTCACAGCAAAGGCTTCCTGTCACCACAGGCCTTCCTGGGTACATCCCCAACCCAGTTTCTCCTCTCAGTGGCTCCCCAATGTCCTCTTAGTTGAATTTCAGACCCTTGATTCTCCTAGGTCATAGCTGACATTGATCACTTCTGATTTCATCCTTGAGGAGACCTTGATTTTGTGTGGGTCTCACTGGTTTGTGATCAAAACCGAGGAGCCCCCCCACCCCTCAAGGAGGTCTCCCAAAGAGTCCAGCGCCCCGTGGGGAGAAAGGCAGCACTGCCCAGGAGACGGCCCCAGCCCTGGTGGGCCTTGCTGCCATGGCCATGGAAGTAAAGCTGCTGTGAGACACTAGACCCAGCTCAGGCCTGGCCCCACATGACCAGGGTTACTCGGGGCTGCTCCTTTGGGGGCACAGTCCACCTTCAGAACAGCCACCCAGGTAAAGTGCAGGGAACTTGGGTCTCTTCTGCCTTGGAGAGTCTGGAAACTTAGTCTCTGACGTCTCACCTGTGCAGACAGGGCTGCAGAGCCCCTGGGGACATTCAGGTTAGCCCGGCACACAGTCAGCCACGGCACCATGCAAGTCAGTCTGGGCGCCCAGCTGGGGACACCGTCAAGGACTCTGATGCCCCTCCTCACACTGCTACTGCCTGGCCCTGCACTGCTGTGCCAGTGGCCTGCCCCTGACCCTGAGCCTCCTCGAGACGGTCTGGGAGCACGAGAAGGGCCAGGAGCTGAGCTCACAGTTCTCAGGGCCATCAGAGCTAACCTGATGGCAGCTGGGGAAAGGACCGTGAGCACATAGCTGTCACTCCACAGTAAAGCAATGAAAGGGTCAGTGTTGCCTCGTTTGGGTTGAAGCCTCCTCCTGTGTGTATATAAGATCAGAACAGCTGAGATGAGGACTGTGAGTTCGAGGCCAGCCTGGAGTACACAGCAAGCCCTGTCTCACACAGAACAAAACAGATGTGAACAGGCCACTTTTAAGGGAAAACTAGAGGAAGTCTGCCAGACACTTCAGTAAGGTTCTCGCCCTTGAGCCGAACTGCTTTGAAAGGACTTTCGTTTTGGTTTTCTTTTGTAGTACCTGGACTAAAGCACCTAAGGACCTGCACCGAGCTA